GGCGGCGCGAGGGCGCATGCTCAGTGCCCGCTTCTGCTCCCTCCATCCAGTGCCGCAGCCGGAAAACCGCAGCGGCGGCGGCGGCGGCGGCGGCGGCTGGGGGACACCGATCACGCCCGGCGGCCCCAGGGGAAAAATACCCGGGCCCGGCCGATTGGCAGGAACGGCGAGACGGGGAGCTACGGCCTCGGGAGGCCCCGGCCTCGGCCGTCCGCGGGGAGGAAGACCCGGCAGGCGGCGGCCGCGTCGCCGGCGGGAGCCGGAGGGGACGGCGACTGGCGGAGATCGCCGAGGAGGGGCCCGGCTGCCGGCGGCCTGCGAGCCGCAGTGATTTTGACGTTTTCCGGGGCTTGGTCTCCCGCAGCCCGGGACGGGCCGCCCGCGCCCGCTTGTCCCTCCGCCCGCCCGGGACCTGGGGGGGGGTCTCCCGGCTCCGAGGGAAGGGAACGGGGAGGCGGGGGCGCGCGGGCTTGGCGATGGCAGGGACATTTTCCACAACGTGATTGTTAAGGACTCCCCCCCACCCCCCTTAAAATTCCGGGCCCTTCCAGCCTCCCCCTCCCCCCAGCCCGTGTGACTAAACGGAGACAAAGGGGAGGCGGCCTCGCTCACACCCGTGCTAGCGGGCGGGTGGTTTGCTGGGGCGCCCCGCTGGACGGACGGACAGACGGCCGGACGCACGGACGCGGCGCCGCCACATTCCTATGCCCTGGAGGAGCGGCGGCGGCTCCCGCGGGAGGCGGCCGGCTCGCGCCGCGGACAGCTGAGCTCCTCCTCCCGCGTCGCCGCCCGGGCCGGCCTCGCCCGGGCGCCGACGGTGGGAGCTGCTCCTGCTTCCCCTGCTGATCCCCGCGGCGCCGAGGCCACACGATGTGAAGGTTAGAGCCGGGACCTCCCGAGGAGCCGCCTGGAAAGATGGGGGATGCTGCAGACCCCAGGGAGATGAGAAAGACGTTCATTGTTCCAGCTATCAAGCCCTTTGACCACTATGATTTCTCCAGGGCCAAAATCGCCTGCAATCTGGCCTGGCTGGTGGCCAAAGCCTTTGGGACAGGTAAGCGATGGCTTCGCTTCCCTCTTCCTCTTTAGGATCTTCACAGCCCGTTTTTTGTTTGTTTCCGATCGTCAGATCCCCCTCCATGCCTGTCTTCTCATGGGTTCAGGGAGATGATGGAAGAGTAGGCAGGAAGAAAAGAGAAATCAGATGTGGTTTGAAATCCAAGTGCCCTTGAATGATCAGGTGGGAGGGACTTGCTCACATTTCTGTTTGTTTTTTTGGGGGTGGGGGTGGGGGTGGGAAATAGCAAAAGTGTTGTCTTTTCATTGAGCAATTTTGGTATGTTTTTCCATAGGGTGGGATATCTTCGTCGCTGCTGCATACATTTTCCCCTGTTATAATCGTGATTACAGCACCAAGAAAGCTGAGTTGGTTTCTTGATTATTGGAAGAGGTTGATGGCACATAGCAAGTACTGTTGATTTTGACATCTTGCTGATGGCTGCTGTTCAGGCTGTGCACTCTGTTAAGGTGGCCAGTGTTGAAATGCAGTATCGGTGTCATTCTTCTCAGCACATTGCAGGCTCTATCCAAACAGTTATTTAAAGCAATATTTACCTGCGAGGGCATTTTGCTAAATGCAGTTCATATTGTCAGTTATAGTCCTTTGTTTTCCGAATGTATTTTAGCTTCATAAATTAAATAAAAACTTAGGATTTTTTTTTTCCTAACTGAAGAGTTTTGAAGGCAGGGTTGACATAAGTATAATGCAGAAGCAATTAAATACTCCCACCCTCACCCAGCCTTTGTAAAATAACAGGAAAAGGGCCTCCTGTTGTAATTCCTTAACTGTTGCTATAGGAGCCCATGTTATTTTGTATATGTAAAATATTGTTTGAACAGTGTTTTAGTACTTACTGACTTTGTGCTGATGTTAAATATAAGAAGGCTTTTGGGGGTAGGAAGATAGCTTATTTCCAATTTTGGCCTGAGACTATGTGGGTGAGCAGTTTAGTCTTAGTGCTTGAACATTCACATCTGCATGTTTTGGGGAGTGCATATTTTAGTTAACTAGCACACAACTCTCAGTGTTTGGAAAATTGGTTAAATTATTTTTGAGGGAAACTTCACATGAACAGTTTTCACTTTATTATTAAATTGGATGTTAGAGGTTTTGCAATTGGTGGGAGTAAATATAGTAAGTCATTTTGAAATATTGTAAAATGTAAAGAATTCTTCAGATCTAAAAATGTAGAGTAACACACAGGAGGAGACAGTGTCTTCATTTTCTGGCACTGCTGAAATCAGTAATGAGAAGAATAGCTGTATTTTGGTTTTAACTTTAGCATCTAATTTACATTTAGAGGATAAATGAGAGCTATTTTCAGTATTTAAAAAAGATAGAGGGAAATTTATATAGCAACATGGAAAAGAAGTGGATTCAAGGGATAGCAAAGACGTTTTCTTCTGAAACTGAGAGGATACTTCTAGTACAGATGTCAAATTTTACCCTGGATTCATAAAGGCTACTAACCAGCAAATGGCCTACTTTCTGGATATATGTCAGACAGGTTTGCTAGATTCTGGGCCATTTGAGTAACACATATTGAACACCCCTGAAAAGGAAAGGCAGTGAAAGGAATGTAGTGTCAGTGTAATCTGTCTTGTCCCTGCCACGGTGGTGGCTGCTTTACATTAAATTGTTCATTGGGGATTCTCAGCCAGTCTGTGATTCAAGTAAGTATGTTCCCTATTTTAAAAACAGGAGGAAGCCACTGCACAGAGAAGTTAAACAACTTTCCTATTGCACTTTGAGTAAGGGCAGAGATGAATTTTATTTGATAGATTCCAGAGTCAGACATTGGTAAAGGCAGGGGATGCCTGTTATATACCAGGCCTTTAAGTACATTGCTTTATTTGTTCCTACAGCAATCCTCTAGATCGAGTTTGTTCTCAATTTTGCAGATGAGAGGACAAACTCAGATTCGTTTGTTTAAGATTAAACATCTGCCAACTAGTGAATTCTGCATGCCAGCTCAGGTCTTTCTGTCTCTGAAGTCTTTGCAATTTACACTCACTTTGCTGAGAAATCCTTTATCTGTAAGTGTGGGAAATATGCACATACTGCCTGTTAAGTCTATTTTTTTTTTTCCTTTAAAGAGTGGGAATGGCTTACTTGAATATTGTTGGTACTTAGTTACATTTGCCTTGGCAACAGTTGGAATAGATTAAAAAGATCATTTTCAAAATGTAATGAAAAACAAGTTTAGAAGCCTTAAAGAAGGTGATTTAGAAAAAAGAAATTAATACATTGTTAAGAATACCAAGTTTTGTTTATTCTTTAATTAGCACAGTATATATTTACATTGGATTGAAAAGAAAAAAGTAAGATTTTCATTTCTTTGATGTAAAGTCTACATTTACTGCAGAAAAGACAACATATTTCGAAGATATCAGTTAATCATTTAAAAAAAAGCCCAACTTAAATTTAAGATTTACAAAAGTAAATCTTAACCATGAGGTCTTCAGTCATTGATCTAGTCTTTTTCCATCAGAAACTAACTTTTGAAATGTAAAAAGTTCTTTTTTTTAATCCATATGTTGGAAAAGTCACCTAAAATGGTAGCTGGAAATCAATTGTGGGCAGAAAATGAAGTTATTGAACCATAAAACTTAGAGCACTAAAGCATTGTAATACCTAGAAAGCAGAATTGTTTACTTCATTTGAAGTCTTCTGTCAGGAACTTTGAATCATGTACTAATTCTTTATACTAAAAAAATCCCAAGTCTTAGTAGTTTATTTTATGGAACAATGCACATACAGTATCGATCAATTGAGAAATAAGTTTGTTCAGTAGTTCAATTTATTTTTATTTAAAAATACACAGATACTCGAAGCAAATGATAAAAGAGGAAGCTAAACTATTTGTCGCTACTGTCATATATTCGAACAGCTTAACCCATTAAAGCAGTCCTACTACTGAATGCTACGTGTTCTGCTCCTTTAAGTCCTTTAGGGAGAGTGGGAGGTGCAAACCCTTTTAGGATACTCTTTCTTACTCAATTCTTAAATGGAATTCTTACAGTACTTCCTAGTATCAATTTATTATTTCAACTTTTATCAACTTTCATTCTCTTTTTCACACCATTTAGTAATACAAAGTCATCTGCTATCAACCCCGTTAACATTTCTTTGTATATCCCAACTCATGTTATTATCAAAGCTCTGTTTGCAGTTGTGTGTGAAGATGATGACCCTGAGTAGTATTGTGATTGAGAGACTAATGGCAGGAATGCCAGTTTGGGAAGTTACTGAAGGAAGGAGTCTGGGCAAGAGATTGCGGACTAGTAGTAGAGTAGAAATGATCATAAAGAGACCCATTTATAGAGCACTTACTATGTGTCAAGGAAACTTTTACTTACTCCAGTTTTACTAATAAAGAAGATGAGGTCCAGAAGCTTAGGAACTATCTACACCACCCAAACTGGTGGGCTGAGATCTGACCTTGAGAAGTCAGACTTAGGTCTACACTGTTTAATCAATGCCCTTTGTGGCTAGATGTTATTAATGGAAAAGAGGCAAAGATAGAAAAAAATGTTTCAGAGGTGTGATCCCTACTACTTCTGATTGGCTGAATTCGGGATTTGTGGAGACCGGTTTAAAGAAAAAGGAAAGAGGATGAGCCACCTGAGATTTTGAGGAGGAGGGTGACAGCTTTTGCAATTATGAATTGTGATGTCATTGTTAGAGACAGAGAAAGCAGCAAATTGGAATAGGAAGTTAGCTGAACTTAATGTGTTGGCTGGAGATTAGAAATCCTGTGAAATAGGTAGTTGTAAGTGTACGTATGTAATGTGATTGAGTTGATGTTAGGAATACCAATTTGGGAATCCTCTGTTGTGTAACAGTAGAAGTTGATGAGATCTTAGAGGGAGAGACTTTTGAGGCAGAATCTAGGGTAGTGAACACTTAGAATGATTTGCTAAAGGAAAGGAGCCAGAGTTAGAACAGTCGGGGTTAGGAAAAGAATTAAATACAGCTCAGAGACATGATAATTTCAGTGGGGTGCCACAGGTTTTTAAACCATGCTTTCTTCTAAGAGTCCTCTCCACCCCCACAAGAGTGAGCTTTATTAAGGGAGATAAGACAAACGTGTAACTATAGTAGAGCTCAGGAAATATGTGGGTCCTATAAGTGGAACAGTGACATGTAAAAGGAAGGAAAGGCTGAGGGGAGAGAGGCCACTTACTGCTGTGATCTGTGACCTGGATTGGAGGTGACAGACTAGACCTAAAGGCCATCAGTCTGAATGGGAAGTAGGCATTGTTGGAAATGGTTTGTTTGCAGGCATGCAGTTGAGAAACCCACCATAGTGTTATAGGAACCACATAGAGTAGTTGGAGGAAGTTTGTTTATATAATGAAGTAGTATCTGAATTATTCGGAGGGTTAGGTTAAGGAATTTGGTATCAATTATCTTATGAACATTGAATAAAAAAAGTCCCTAGTTAACTGACTACATTCTTCGTGCTTATTTTGAACATTTTATATGTGCTGTTTCATTTAATTATGAAAATGACTCTATAAATAGATATTTTTATGTCTTCTACAGCTCTAAAGCAGGCTTTCCCAACTACAGGACTGTTGATTGGATGGTTTTTTGTTGTGAGGATTGTCCTATGCATTGAAGGGTTTTAGCAATACCCCTATCTTTTGCCTGCTAGATGACAGTATAATTTTTCCCACCCCTACATCTAATCCAGTTGTATCAACCAAAACAAACAAACAAACAAAAAACCAGATATCATCAAATCTAGGAGACCCTGAGGAGTAAAATGATGTAAAATGACCCCAGCATGAGAACCACCACTATAAAAAATTATAAAACACACCTTGAATTTAAGTTTTTCTTACAGGAGAGTACAGATTAATTAATTAATTACAGATTTCACAAATATCCAATTCAAAAATAAGAATTTAGGAAATATGTTAGCTTACCCGTTTTATAATTGAAAATGTTTCAGAGGGATTAACTACCATTGATCTTGTAAGTGGTAG